TTAGATGGAGTGATCACTGACTCTGTGGTAGTATTCTATCTTGGAGTAAAAACGATTAGGTTCCAACTGCACTTCAGGTAGCCCAGAGAGAGAAGGCTGAAGCATTACGTCTCAATGCTAAGCTGATGCTCAGAAATGATACTTGCATGCAATAGGTACGTGATCCATGCGCTGTCCTCCCATCACCACTGGAAATGTTTAGTTGGGGTCTTTTTCCATGTTCCTGCTAGGAGGATAAATGAGTGGCCTGACTATCTGGAAGCAGTAGGCTAAATCAATTTGTAACAAACTTTCAGCCAATTCGTAAACTCTCCTTCTGACTCTTATTCAGTGTCAGATTCAAATCCCAAGTGAAGGGCAGTTGAAGGTTTTGCTAGATAAAAGATTCTGCAAAAGTGCAATTTGCTTTTGATAATAGGACAATTTACAATCTTTAGAAGTGACCGTTTTCTTTGAACTGAACTGCAGCAACCACCTTTCATGACAACTAATAAGAAATCAGCGAGAACGTTAAGATTGCAATTTTTTTGGTAGATCTCGTTTTCTTGCATTTTATACATTCAGCTGATTGTCACCAACTAACAATGTAAATTTAAATGCTCAACTCTTCACTATATTCACTATATTTAATAAAAGTATAAATAGTTATTCCATTCAGTTTATTGATGAGTTGGGAGCTACCTTTGATTTAAATGAAATATCACTTTAATCACACTTAACACGACCACTTTCGGCTGAAGATGATTATTCTGCCAAGGAAAGACACTATCATTTATAAAAACAGCAATAAATAACATTACCTCAGTGGTTTGTGATCATGCTACTGTCTGTATATTTTATGGTTGCTGTAATGTTGAAAGATGAGACAGTGAAAATCCCAAGACCTGAAGAAGACATGCCTTAGTCAGTAACATGTGTAACCTGCTGATCTTACACATTGCACCACTAAGACAAACAATGAATAAAAAGATTAAATGCAAAATCCTGCAGAGATCTAAAACAAAAACATACAGTGCTGGAGGAACTCAAGAGGCCTTCCGCATAAGTTATATTGGACTTGAAAAGATAACCATATTTTTCTCTCTCTGCAGATGCTGCCAGATATGCTGCATTTCTCCATCACTTAGTATTTTTGATTAATAAAAAGCCTTGCTTTGAGTCACAGACTGGATTTCTAATTGTTGCAAAAAGTTAACAAATTTCTTGCCATTGTTCACAGAGTTAAGGAGAGTTTTGATCCATTACACAGTACCTGTATCAATAATTCTTAGTCATTGTCCAGTTTCAGTTAGTTTTAAAACTGGCACAAACAGAACCTTGTTGCATTGGACAAAAGCTTCTTAATAGAAAACACTAAGGAATTTCATTAGTTAGGGTGAGTGTTTAGGACCCTGATTTAATAAACTATGTAATAATCTATGACAAAAGAAAGCAAGAGAGCTTGATTGAGTAGATTACGCAGGATAGTTTCAAGTTATGTGTTTTCAGTGCTGGAAATGATGGTCTGAGTGCATTTGGTTTTGTTGTTTATTTTCATTAAAACAATAATTTCTCAAGTGTCTTGGTACTTGATGTTGATGTCTGCTTGTGCTCTGAATGTTGTACCAGGGAAGACAAGGCACAGGTTTTACCTAGAGTCCCATTATGATGATTCCCTTATGTGGACTGTGTTATGAATTAGAAATGATGTTTACCCCCTCTGGGCTGGAGATTGAAATCTCCAGGGGCTGCTCTCATATTATTCCTGGCTGAAGAACATCAGTCACAGATTCCTGCTTCCCAGCCTCTCACCTAAAGAGTGCATTTGGAGCAGGGTGTTTGGAGAAAATGGAACCCGTTATATTCAGGAATACAGATTGAGATCCTGCTATGCACTGCCTGTTTGAGGAGATGTTTCCGACTGAGAGAAATAGAAAAACTTTTACAGAAAGTTTTGGATGTGTGTGATAACCAACCAATACTGTCAGTTCACGTTTTTATGGAATTGCTTTCAATAATTGGATGTTGTGGATTGTATCAGTGTTCTTCATTGAACAATTGGATCACTGGTTGCTCGATAAATATCACACATTCCCAAAAACTAGAGAGGAAGTTAGAAGCAGATTTCTCACCAACCCTGTCACTAACATTGGCAAAGTGAGGAAAATATATTGAACACAGGATGCACAGGTAGTCTGCCAAATGACTCTACTCCAAACCAAATACTTGGGGGAGAATTGCAACATGGGTGAAATTATGGGATTTGGTGATGGGGACGGACATTCAATCAGGAAAAATTCAAAACCTGAATCAGGAAGTTGGTTGCAATGCATTGACTGAATGACAGGTTTTACACACTGGGTTGGGTGCGTGCCTTGAAGTTTCCTTACATGAACATCATACCCACACACCCACCATTGGTCCATCCTCCACACAGATATTTTCTAATCAACCTGTTCAGAGACAGGGTTAGGGTAGGAGAAGGTCACGCACTTCAGGAGATCATGGGACTTAAACTTGGGCCTCCTGGCTCAGGGGTATGGACACTACCACAGTGCCACAACAGCCCTATAACTGACTCTAGTGAAAGTTGAACCTGCAGTGTGTGAATGCTTTACTTGCCTTTGACTAGGGGTTCAAAACACAAGCCATTGCACCAGAGAGAAATTCCTCCATCCTGCATGTAAGCTGCCTTCCCAATGTTAATGGGAAGGAATAGAGTTTGTTACCTAATTGGATTATTCTTGACTAGTAATGAAACGAACAGTTTCCCTGTCTACGTTTTTTTTATAAATGACTAATAGTGTATCATCTGCTTGTGGACTAGAACAGGAAGTTGTTGGTGTTAACATCATGACCTTTAGGTTCTGTATTTAAATACAATTAGTGATATCAGAGGCACTATGACTGCATGCGTGGCCAGTGTACTCCTTGTGTTGGCAGTAAATACAGATGTAAAATCACTAGTTAACTGTTGGCCACTGTATCACCAACAAAAATTTTGTGACCAACATTTGGGGAAAAATGTTTTTTTCACACTTTTACACTTAAATGTAGCAAAAGTTCTAGATGTTCAACAGAATGCAAATTATGTCCTTACTTATTCAAAAGAATTAGAATAAAATCCAACCAATAGAATTTAAATTAAACCCGCCTGCCTGAACAACTTAAAGGAGTATTAACACAGGCAGCAGGTCTGGTTATTCTTATTGAGAACAGTTTACAGTTTAGTTCACAACGGTCATATCAAATACTAATGTTTTATTGGAGGTAGCTCTCTTCCTCAGTTATTGCCTTTCTCTTTTCCTACTTCCCCTGAAGATGCAGTCTCTGACGGGGCTTAAGTCTACTGAAGTCCCCAACATCTAGCCTGTGGACTGAGCTGACTGAAGTAGAGATAAGCCCAATTAAAGTCCTAACTCTCTTTCAATTCCTAAAAATAAACTTTGTCCATAAAATTTGTAGAAGTACATTACAAAGCATTTTGACTTGAAAATTATAGAAAGTGCAATAAAATTTAACTTCTTTCCAGACTGCATGATCCACACTGAGGTGTCTCAATTTAATCTCAATACTTCTGATACTCCCAAATGTACATTCCATGTCAGTCCATAGGGTTCCACACTGTTTCCAAGCCCACTGTGTATTCCTATGCCCATACACAGCTCTTTCCATGAGGAGCAACCAAGTGTGGGATCCCAAACTTAGGAGTTGCTGAAGAGATTTTCTTTACTGCCAAACTGGCTGAGATTCACTAACTTAGCACATTCTACAGATCAGACCTGGGAGCTTCCTGGTTTATGTGGCTCTGTACAACATTAGATGTCAACAAGGCATTCAGGTTGGAATTTTAATTTTCTAATATTTATGACAGTGTTCTTTCTCAATATTAACTATAATTTTTAAGAGCGGAGAATTGCACAAACAGATAAATGGGAGCTTGAGTGAAACACAGATGCTAACATGGACTGGTCTGTCTGAATGGCTTGCTTCTGCACTGTATGGGATTCTATAAGTACCCATTTGTTAGTCAAAATATGTGGAACAACTTTTCTTATTCATTCAGGATTCAGCTTCTTAACATTAAATCAGGAATGGTGAGGAAACATTGAATTATTTTGCTGGCACCATGCACAGCTTACAGATGAAAGGCCTTTGCTGGACCAATAAACAATGAGTGATAGCTTGAACATGAATGTAATTATGTCTGGCAATGCTATTATTTCTGATTGCCTGATGTATGATCTGAGATATCACTCTTCTCCGAGTTATAAAGCAATACCAGTAATGTCTTTATTGTAAACAACTGTTTATCTTTACATATTTTAAACGTTGTGTTCTTCAATCATGATAATGATAGATTTACATGGCTTTACCTTACGACTATGCAACTGTACTACAAACCATAAGTTCTGCTAAGGTTTGATGTGAAGTTCATTTCCCTGTTATATTACAGTGAACAGTGAAATGCCAAGGAAATTGAACCATACAAGTTCTTCTAAGCTTGGTTAACAGGAAAAATGGGCTGAACATGCGTCCATACTTGGGAAGTGTAACCTCTGTGTGTTGACTGGCATTACATCTGTGCTCATTCTTCTGTAACTTAGCTATCCCACCTCACACACCACTTTTTGTTGTGTGGTTGATGTCACACTTTGGGTTTAGGTTCCAATCAGACTGGTCATAGAGAAGGAAAAGTCAAGAACTGTCTTCAGGCTTAAACATAAAAGTCTCAGCATTTATTGTACTTTCATATTAACTATTATTATCCATGATAATTATATATTAGACTCTCACTTATAGTTACATTAAGAAATAACTAATCTATTTGCTTTGAGTGTTCAAGTCCATGTGCTCTTAATGTATTTTCCAGTGAATCACACATTCTAATGTCTTGTAGTGAGATTCTTCCAAAATATTTTAGCTTCACCCACTCTGTGGTATGTTTACCCAGTGATGTGCAGCTCTGCAACATCACCATAACGTTGATACAGGGTCCAAGTTCCCTTATATTATGCATTATGCCAGATCTTTCAGAGAATAAGATCTATCAGGTGAGTTACACCTGATTAATTCATCTTTGAGTTGAATGGAACAATTATTAACCTCATTGAACCATTGTGTACCTCGTGCAATCATATTGAAATGTTAAAGGGTTAATACCTGTTCTGCTGACATATAAGAAATTAGGTGCTTCGTGGGCGCCCCTGTCTCGCAGACAAAATGGGGTAATATAATTATACTCTGCTCTCTGTAAATGCTAAAAGGATAAGGAACTACCTCGTCTTACACATTGTTTTTGGGCAGCTAACCTTTGTTTTACTGTTAGATGATTAAGTTACATGATTATGGGGGAGAAAAAACTTGTATCTTGTATGCATGTCTGACTGTGCTGTAAAAACCCATATAAAGGGAGGACGGTTCCCTTACAGAGAGCATCGCTTGTCACGGCTCTCCAAGCCCTGCGAAGATTGTTAAGTGATCCTCCAAAGCTTGTACTTGCTTAAATAAACGGTGGCTATTCACAGAAGTTGGCGTATTGCGTTTGTATCAAGTGCGTAGGAATCTCTTAAAAGGGAACTCAACAATATGACTATGTCACTTTCAACTCCCTCACTTCTTTCTCTTTCCCCATTTCACTCTGTTTCTTTCTCTTCTTCGCTCTGACATTATCTTTCATCATTTTCGAGTTTTACCTCTCTCTACTTTTCGTTTCTCCAATTGGGGGTAGGAAAAAGACCCCAGGACGGTGACATTTTTCTGAAGAAGGATCCCGATCCGAAATGTCAGCTTTCCTGTTCCTCTGATGCTGCTGGCCTGCTGTGTTCCTTCAGCTCCACACTTTGTTATCCAGATTGTGACATATGTGAGTGGCCAAGTTAGAACTTGATAACTCTGTTGGATATCTAAGTTAAAGGTAGCAGCATTGGTGACCACTGGATTCAAATCATTTATATAAATTGAGAAAAGCTGTGGACCTAGCACTGATGCTTGTGGTACCCCAATGGTAAACAGGCTGCCATTGTGAGAACAATTCTTTATTCCTACTCTCTGTTTTCTGTCTGTTAAACAAATCTCAATCCATACGCATATATTATCCCAAACCTCGTGTGTTCTAATTTTACTTACTAACTTCTATCTAGAACCTTATCAAAAGCCTCCTGAAAATCTAAGTACACTACAACTGCTAGTTCTCCCTTATCAAGTCTAGAAGTGACATCCTCAAAAAACTCCAACAGGTTTAGCATGCATGATCTTATACAGTCCAAGCAAGACATCTTTGCTTCTGTGCTTAAACATACTATTTGCCATCCAAATTGCCTGCTGTACCTATATGCTAGTTTGAGATTATGAGCAAGGACACCAATGTCCCTTTAGACATCAACACTTTTGCATCATTTAGGAAATACTCTGCACCTTCATTCCACCTACTAAGGTGAAAAACCTCACACTTGTTCACATTGTTTTCCATCTGCAATGACCTTGGCCACTCATTCAGTCTGTCCAAATCCATACAAAGCCTCTTAGCATCATTCTTACAGCTCACATTTTCACCAATCCTTAGGTCATCTGCTAAATTGGAAGAAGTGGCTCCTGTCAAATCATTGATACGTATTGTGAACTGTTGGAGCCCAAGCACTGTTTGCTGTGGCAACTCACCTTTTTTAGGACAAATAGGGATGGGCAATAAATACTGGCCTAGCCAGTGATGCCCACATCTCACGAGTGAATTTTATAAAAATTATGAAAGATTAGCTATTCTTTTCTTCTTGATGGCAGCATACAACTGATTCGGAGGAATTACTGTTGGTATCCTATTGGCTGGTTCATTGTATGGGTAGAGAATTCCAGTTTACCAGGCTGACAGCTACTATGAAAATAGGGGGTAAGGCAGAAGGATTAAATTCTCCAAGAACCATTTTGCAACCCACAGGTTACCTGGTGCACCACCATGCCAAGGCCGTGAAGAGACTGATCAATAAAAAAGAAATGGTTTATTGGGTATAATGACCATTCACTTATCACTAAATGGTGCCCCAATAGGAATGGCTCTTCCTTTGGGGTAATTTCTGCAAAGTTTGAACAAGGTGGCCAGCAAACTTCTAAGGATGTTACAGCAGTGGAACAAGAGAAAGACTGTGAAAAATCTGTCCTTAATTTTCAACATTTTTTTCTATCTTATTGATAGTAATTTCTATATCTTAGTTACACAAAAAAGGAGCAATTGTATAATTAAATCCAGACTAAAGATTAACCAGTGAACACAATAAAATAACTGCAGAGATCTCTTTATCTATGTTCTAATTTTCCCAAGTTTGTAACTAATACTTTGCTACAAAGCATTACGTAATCAACTAAGTTTAATATATGGCTGAGATTTTAGATATATTAACTGTAACATTCAAAAATTAAATCTGCATTAGGCCAAAGCAAAGGAGACTGTACCACCTCTTTTTGTTTTGCTGAATGCTTTCAGAGTTTTTTTTCCAGAAAAATATGGTTGTGTTGACAACAAACAATGTTAATGAGCTTAACAATTTGATTAACCCAGAATGACATTTTACCCATGGTAAAGGCAGTCTGCAAGTAAACCATATTTACTAGGCTGATCTCGGGTCAAATTGCCAGTCTGTCCTGAGTTAAATGATCTCAGGCAGAGCAGAAATCGAAATGTTACAATTGGACTCAGAGCCTCAGAGGAAGTGAAATTTTCTTCCTCATTGCCAGTCACTGACCTCCTACTTAAAAACAGCTTTGAATGGACGTCAGGTGAAGGCAAAACCTGGCTTGGATGGTCAGCTGAGATGCCACTGATAGCAATGTCCAACATAACTACTGAAGGATGATGGACTTTAACTCCTGACTGAGCTCGTAAGTTGGGAATTACTGCTGTGGACTAGGTCTATTCTTCTCATTTGTCTCGCAAGAGTGGTTCAAGAATCTGCCTCTTACTAAACTGGTGGGAAAATCCCAGAAACAGCAGAAGACCGGTGCAATAAAACCACTGGCATCACCATTAACAATGCCACCACTACCGCCACCAGCAACATCACTGTCAACACAATCAACACTGTCACTAACAATACCATCACTGTCAACAATGCCATTACAACCCAGCACCACCTTCAGCACAGCTGGCATCAGCCTAGCCAACATTTCATCAGACACCTGGTAGGACTTCTGTGAATTTTCTTAGTACTTTAAATTAGGTACGGCAACAACCTGGAAATCCGGAAGTAAGAGCCTAATGTTGACCATGAATCCATTGCTGATTGTCAGAAAAACTCATTTGGTTCACTAATGTCCTTTAGGGAAGGAAACTGCTGTCTTTACCTGGTCTGGTCAACATGTGACTCCAGACCCACAGCAATGTGGTTGATTCTGAACTGCCCACTGGGCAATTATGGATAGGCAATATATGCTGGCCTAGCCCTTATTCCATGAATGAATAGTGAAAATACATTTATCTTCATGTAGTATTCATCACATCAAATAAAATGTTTAAAGTGTCAGGGAAATGTGCTTGGAGAAAACTCCTAAATGGTTTCAATGTAATTGCTTCACATACACAGTCCTTCCTGTTAACATTAACATAATGCTTTGCGGATCAATACAATGAGGCATCTGATACATCCGGGACAGGAGGAAAGCACTGCCAGACATCTGGAATGTGACTCTTTTAACACCAGGAAAGGATGGTCTCACACTATGACCAGCCCCGACATCTATTCCTTTGTGGTCACTGCCAGGAAACCACTTTCTTATGTTTCAAATCAAAGCTGACAATGTTGATATTGACACCGTGCAGAGGCAAAATGAAACTTCCTTCAAGTGGGACTCAACCATAATGCAATACCTTAACCACCACTATAATGTCCTCAGTTTGTTGAATAAGGAAGGAATTTAAAGTTTCTTTAACTAATTGATTCCCAGTGAAGCATGTTTTACTTTGTTTTATTGTCATGTTTAAATACTCCTGCTTTTGCATCACTAGGTATGTTTGTTCTTAAAGTCTTTATCATGCATTCGTGGCATTTGTTTAATGCTTAACAACAATTGTCAATATTCTTTTAGGTGTTGGCACAAAACCTGCTGTTTTAACAAAACAGACAAAGCATTTTGCAGTTTAGTTGTAAAGCTGCCCATTGTTTAATGTGACACCATGACAGGAATAAGAAAGTCACAGATTTCACTCTGAATCAATTCTAAACTAATGTTAGGTATTTAAATAGTCTTAGTACTGAACCGGATAGGGTGGAGAAAAGCACCCTAGATTCTTAAATCCTGTCTCCCTTGGGAAGTGTATCAAACACAGATATCCAGTGAGGAACATATCAGGTTTGGCTGTGATATTTCCATCGTTGAACAGCCTGGCAATAATCTTGATGTACAAATATGAAGAATGATTGAGGTACCAGGGACTGTGTGGCTTGTGTAAAATTGTAGCAAATGCATGTGCCATTACTTAGAGAAAGGAAGATTACTGTACCAGAAAATTATAAAGACAACAATAACACCTGCCAATCCTTGGCAGATCACCATCCTAAGGGCAGGATCATAGAATCCTTACAGTGTGGAAGCAGGCCATTCAGCCCATATCAACACTCTGAACAGCATTCCAACCAAATCCACCCATCCAGTTCCTGTAACCCTGCATTTCCCATGGTTAACTCATTTAGCCTGTACACTATGGGTCATTTAACATGGTCAATCCACCTAGCCTGCACATCTTTGGACTGTGGGAGGAAACCAAAGCACCCGGAGGAAACCCACACAGACACGGAGAGAACGTACAAACTCCACACAGACAGTCACCTGAGGCTGTAATTGAACCCAGGTCCCTGGCACTGTGAGGCAGCAATGCTAACAACTGAGCCACCGTGCCGCCCCAGGAGATGTATGGGAACATAATCCATCTCTTAGAAGCCCTCCAAGACACACAATTCCGATAAGAACATATCTCACCACATCTGTATTGTCTGTAGGTCAATATTCTTGAACTCCTTCCTAAACAGCAATGTGGGAGAACTTCACCACATGGCAACAGTTTAAG